GAGTCAGATGCATCATTCCTCCCTGCCACAGGGCACTCAGCAAATACAATAGGGATGCTCAACCCATTCCCTCCTTGCTCAGGGATGTTCTCTCCATCCCTCCTCGCTCAGGAATTTTCGCTCCATGCCTGCTTGCTCAGGGATGCTCACTCCATCCCTCCTTGCTCAGGGATGCTCACTCCATCCCTGCTTGCTCAGAGATGTTTGTTCCACCCTTCCTTGCTCAGGGACGTTCTCTCCATCCCTCCTTGCTCCTGAGCCCAAGCAGGAAGGATCCAACCCCGAAAGTGTCCCTTGATGGTTTAGCTTGGTGAGAGCACCTCAGAGCTGCGTTGCCCGGGTCCCAGCACACCTTGGAGCTCCCAGCTGGCTCCCCACATCCCGGAGCCCTGAAAAGCGGCTCTGTGCCTTTGTTGGAGGCTCTGAAAGCGCCTTTTTTCCTCCTGAACATCTGGGGCTCCGGCGGCTGCGCGAGGCAAAATTCCTCCTTTGTTGCTCCTTCGCCGTTTCTTTGCCGGGCTGGGGATGGAAGGAAATCTGCTCGTGTTTCTGCTGCCCTTGCCGGGCTGGGGATGGAAGGAAATCTGCTCGTGTTTCTGCTGCCCTTGCCGGGCACGGCCCGCTCGGGGCTCTGCGCGGAGCGCGAGCACCGCTCGGACTCGGCAATGACAGCGCGGCCCCGAGGGGAGGGGACAGGGGCTGTGTGAGGGGACAAGGGGCTCTGTGAGGGGACAGGAGTTTGGGGAGGGGACAGGGCTGGGAGGGGACAGCACTGGGGAGAGGACAGGGATTTGTGGAGGGGACAGGGGTTTGGAGAGGGGATAGCGCTGGGAGGGGGACAGGGGCTGTGTGAGGGGACAGGAGTTTGGGGAGGGCACAGGGCTGGGGAGGGACAGGGATTTGGGGAGGGAACAGGGCTGGGAGGGGACAGGAGTTTGGAGAGGGAACAGGGACTCTAGGAAGGGGATAGGGACCGTAGAGAGGGGACAGAGATTTGGAGAGGGCACAGGGGCTGTGGGAATGGGACAGGGCCTGTGTGAGGGGGACGGGGCTGGGGACGGGACAGGGGCTGTAAGAATGAGACAGGGATTTGGGGACGGGACAGGGCTGGGAGAGGACAGGAGTTTGAGGAGGAGACAGGGGCTCTGGGGAGGGGACAGGAGTTTGGAGAGGGGACAGGGATCTGGAGCGGGGACAGGGACTGTAGGAAAGGGACAGGGCTGGGATGGGACAGGGACTGTGGGAATAGGACAGGGGTTGTGTGAGGGGACAGGGATTTGGGGAGGGGACAGGGACTGTGGGAAGGGGATGGCACTGGAAGGGGACAGGGGTTTGAAGAGGGGACAGGGACTGTGCAAGGGGACAGGAGTTCGGGGAGGGGACAGGGACTGTGTGAGGGGACAGCGCTGGGAGGGGACAGGGGTTTGGAAAGGGGACAGGGACTGTAGAGAGGGGACAGAGATTTGGGGAGGGGGCACCGCTGGGAGAGGACAGGGGCTGTGGGAATGGGACAGGGATTTGAGGAGGGGAGAGGGCTGGGGACGGGACAGGGGCTGTGGGAATGGGACAGGCGTGTGGGGAGAGGGGACAGGGGTTTGGAGAGGGGACAGGGCTGAGGAGGAGACAGGAGTTTGAGGGGACAGGGGTTTGGAGAGGGGACAGAGACTGTGGGAATGGGACAGGGATTTGGGGAGGGAATAGGGCTGGGGACGGGACAGGGACTGTAGGAAGGGGACAGGGACTTGGAGAGGGAACAAGGACTGTGGGGGGGGACAGGGGTTTGGAGAGGGGACAGGGACTGTAGAGAGGGGACAGAGATTTGGAAAGGGCACAGGGGCTGTGGGAATGGGACAGGGCCTGTGTGAGGGGGACAAGGATTTGGGGAGGGGACAGGGACTGTGGGAAGGAGACAGGGTTGAGGACGCGACAGGAGTTTGAGGGGACATGGGTTTGGAGAGGGGACAGGGACTGTGGGAAGGGTACAGAGGCTGGGGAGGGGACAGGGGCTGTGAGGAGGGGACAGGGGTTTTGGGAGTGAACAGGGTTTTGGTGAGGAGACGGGCTGCGGGAATGGGACGGGGCTGTGAGGAGGGGACAGGGGTCTCGGTGAGGGGACAGGGACAGTAGGGAAGGGGACGGGGACCGAGAGAATGAGACCCAGGCTGTGCGGAGGGACCAGCTGGGGCCAGGGAGGGAGGAGTGCAGAGCGATGCCCCCCCCAGACTCCCCCATGTCAGTGAGTATCAATGCAATGCCCACACTCATTATTTTGGATTTTAAATCTGGGGTGCCTCGATGGTCTTTTGAGATGCTGCACCCATGTCCCGTGTGCAGGGTGGGGACATCACACGGCACAGGTGACATTTGGGACAGCTTTTGCCCCAAGAATTCCCCCTGCTGCTCTCAAAAGACCATTCTGGCTCTAAAAGCAAACCTGCCGTTATAAACTCGGAGTTGTGTCCCAAAATTAAAGTTTTAATGGAAAACCACTTTAAGGAGTCCATTCCAGCCGCCGGTTTGATGCTCTCCCGCCCTTCCTGGGAGGGCGAAGCTGCAGCTCCGCCACCTCTGGAGGATGGCCCGGCGTGCCTGGCCCGGCTGCGGAGCCTGAATGGGCTGGGCTGGACCGGGCTGAGCTGGGCCGGGATGGGACGGGAAGTTGTTGGGGAAGAGGCAGATCCGTGGTAGGGCAGGAGAAGGATTCACCCCTCCCACCTGGCTGGGGAGGAGCTCAGAGGGATGGACGCCCCTGCTGGGGGTCCGTGGGATGCTGGAGTGCTTTGGTCATGGAATGAACCGACCTACAGAGCCGCCCCAGCCCTGAAGCCTCCAAAATCAAGGAGCCCCCGGAGCTGCTGCAGGGCTGGAGCCCCTCTGGAGCCAGGCTGGGAGAGCTGGGGGTGCTGCCCTGGAGAGGAGAAGGCTCCAGGCAGAGCTCAGAGCCCTTGCAGGGCCTGAAGGGGCTCCAGGAGAGCTGCAGAGGGACTGGGGACAAGGATGGAGGGACAGGAGGCAGGGAATGGCTGCCAGTGCCAGAGGGCAGGGCTGGATGGGATCTTGGCAATTGGGAATTGTTCCCTGGCAGGGTGGGCAGGGGCTGGGCTGGAATTGCCAGAGCAGCTGTGGCTGCCCCTGGAGCCCTGGCAGTGCCCAAGGCCAGGCTGGACATTGGGACAGTGGGAGCTGTCCCTGCCATGGCAGGGGTGGCACTGGATGAGGTTTAAGCTCTTTTCCCAATCCAAACCATTCCATGATATAAGATGAGGGAATCTGGGGCATTCAGAGCCCTGAGGAGGGAGGTGACAGTGTTAAGGAAGGGAAAAAGAGAAAAGAATAAAAAAAAAAATTAAAACCCACCCCCACTTTAATCACCTGAGCTGTCCGGGGAAGGGAAGTGCCCCGAAGCAGAACAGCACCAGCTGAAACTTTCCTTTGACTTTTATAATTACAGAATAGAAAAGAAATCCTCGATTCACGTTACAAAGCTGGGCTCATAGAAAACCAAGCCAACGGAACAGAAACACCCAAGGTCCTGGAGCGCCGTGCCCGGCCCCTGTGGAGCCCAGGGCAGGGAGGGAGGCTCTTCCCAAGAGATTTAATGCAGTGAGCTCTTCCTGCTGGCTTTGGGAAGGGTTGGGACATGGGGAGTGTCTGTGTGTCCATCCCATCCCATCCCACCCCATCCCAGAGCAGGTCAGTGCAGCATCCTTGGTCCTAGAGAGGAAAATAAACCCCAGAGATGCTGCTGGCCCCAGGGCTTGGGGATGGGGATGTGTTCTGGGGGATGAGGGGGATCACTGCCTGAAAAAAACCACAATTTTCCATGGAAAAAAGAGGGGCAAAGGGTGGAAAATTATTGCCTGTAGAGTTCACAGCTTGGCTGGAGGTGGCTCAGCCCATCCCAGCCCCAGGTCCTGGCGCTTCCAGGGCTCCCTGTGGGGAAGGGCCAAACAACCATTCCAGGGTGTAAAAAAACTCCCCTGGCACTGGAGGAGAAGCAGCTGGGAGGAGAAATCCACCCAAATTCCCCAGCTCCCTCCCAGGGGGGCAGGGTGGGCTTGGGAGCAGATCCAGGATCCTGGAGGAGCCTCATCCCACGGAAAGGAGAGCGAGGAGCTTCTGGGGAGCTGGGCCACTCCAGGAAACTCCTTTTTTCCTTCAAATTCTTTCCAAGGCTTTTCCTTCCCAGCTGATCTTCCTCCTGCAAAGCAACCGACCTCACACCCCCCAAAATCCTCCCCCAGTGCCGGTGTCCCTGTGCCACTGGAGCTGATGGATGGATTTGGCACCGAGCCCCCCACGGATGAAGGGACCAGGGTGGGACCCCCAGCCCTGGGTGAGGTTTGGGGGGCCCTGGGGGTCCCAGCCCTGCTGAAGGCACGGTGTCAGCCTTGGAGAGGGGGGGTCTGCTCAGCCAGAGTCTACTCAGGCACTTTAAATTAAATAAAAACCCAAAGAAATGATTGGAAGAAAAAAAAATCCCAAAGCAAAACCCAAAACATTCATCAGATCGTTCCAAGGGCCGGGGAGGGGCCACAGCAGCCTCGGGGCTCCCAGCTCGGAGCAAGGCCCCAAAACGTGGCAGGGAGGGGGTGCAGGAGGTTCAGGGTCCCGTGTGTCCCCCGTGTCCCCAAATCTGGGGTCGGATCCGACTGCTCGGAGCGTCCCAGAGCGAGTCCTGGCACTGCTGCTTCATCCCGGTGGGAGAATTCCTGTGGAAGCACAAATCCCGTGCTCGGAGCCAGTCTGAGCCAGATCCGGAGTGTCAGGACATTGTCCCAACCCTGCCTGTCCCCAGGGCGGTGCTGTCCCTGTCCTTGTCCCTGTCCCGAACTCCGCTGCTCCAAGGAAAAGCCAGGCTGGGACAAACACATCCAGCGGTGTCCGTGAGCGCTGCCACCTCCGCGCTGTCCCCGCGTCCCCACGGCGGGCAGGGGGTGCCCAGGGGGTGGCACAGCCCCCGCCGTGTCCCGGGTGATCGCCGTGGTGGCCCCGTCGCGCCCGGGGTGGTGGCATCAGAGGGTGGTGGCACCGCGGGGTCCTGGCGCCGCTGGGTCCGCTTATCCCGAGCTGGAAAAGAGGGGACAGCAGGGGTTGGGAGAGAGCCCATGGAGTGTCCCCATGTGGGGACAAAGAGGGGACAGCAGGGGTTGGGAGAGAGCCCGTGGAGTGTCCCCATGTGGGGACAAAGAGGGGGCAGGAGGGGCTGGGATAGAGCCCGTGGAGTGTCCCCATGTGGGGACAAAGAGGGGACAGCAGGGGTTGGGAGAGAGCCGCGGTGTGTCCCCAACTGGGGACAAAGAGGGGACAGGAGGGGTTGGAACAGACCCCACGGTGTGTCCCCACATAGGGACAAAGACGCACAAAAGGACAAAGAGGGGACAGGAGGAGCTGGGAGAGATCCACAGCGTGTCCCCATGTGGGGACAGAGGCACAAAGGGACAAAGAGGAGATTCTGGGGAGCTGGGACACTCCAGGAAACTCCTTTTTTCCTTCCACTTTCTTCCAAGGCTTTGGGAGAAAGGGGTTGGGAGAGAGCCCGCGGGTGTCCCCACGTAGGGACAAAGAGGCACAAAGGGACAAAAAGGGGACGAGAAGGGTTGGGAGAGACCTACGGCGTGTCCCCATGGGACAAAGAGCCGCGGCCAGATGGGGACAGGGACCTCTCATGGGGTCACTGCTCTCTTCCACCCCTAAAAATGTCACAGAGTGGCTGGGGAGCGGGGCTGGTGTCCCCTCACATGGGACATCCCTCTCTCTTCTTGGTGTGCCTATTATAATTTTTAATTAATTTTCTTAATTTAAATTTTTTTTATTTTTATTTTTGTTTTGGGTTTTATTTTTATTATTGTTGTTATTATAATCAGCATTATTATCATTGTTATTATTAATAATTTTATTGTTGTTCCTGGGGTTCATTACTCTCTCTTCTTGGTGTGTCTATTATGATTTTATTTTTATTTATTTTTTTATTTTATTTTTATTTTTGATTTTGGATTTTATTTTTATTATGGTTGTTACAATCAGCATTGCAATCGTTGTTATCATTACTAATTTTATTGTTGTTATTATTAATAGTACTAATAATGCAGTTGCTACTGCTACTATTGCTAGTATTATTATTGTTATCTTTTGCTTAATTTCAGTTATTAAACTGTTGTTACCCCACAGGTTCTCCCTGTTATTGTTGTTGCTATTTTTATTGATAATAATACAGCTCCTCCTACAACTATTATGACTGCTACTATTACTATTATTCCTGTTATTATATATTCCTTAATTTCAGTTATTAAACTGTTGTTACCACACAGGTTTTCCCTGTTATTGTTGATATTTTTCTTCTTATTAATAATAATAATACAGCTCTTCCTCCTACTATTATTCTTATCTTTTTCTTAACTTCAATTATTAAACTGTTGTTACCCCACAAGTTCTCCCTATTATTGTCGTATCTATTTTTATTTTTATTAATAATAATAATACACTTGCTACTACAACTATTACCACTATTACTTCTGCTGTTATTCTTGTTATTATATTTTGCTCAATTTCAATTATTAAACCGTTGTTATAGCACAGGTTTTCCTTATTGTTGTTGTTATTGTTAACAACAGCAATAGAATAATAAAATAAAAATAAAGCAAACAAAAAACCGCATATTTAATATATATAATATAAAAATAATAATTAATATTGACTATTGATTAATAATAATAATATTAAATAATAATAATAATAATAATAATAATAGTAATAATAATAATAATAATAATGTTGTACTTATTCCTGGACCTCCCCACATGTTTGTTAATTAAATCACAGCTAATTAGAAGCTGCAGAATGAGCTGTAATTGCTGCAGCCTGGCTGGCCCTGGGGACATGAGTGACCCTGGGGACACAAGTGACCTGCCCCACAGAGCCAGGCCAGCCCTTGTTTGTCCCCTGGCCAGTGAGAGGAGCAGTGGACCCCAATGTCCCCTCCCTGTCCCCTCCTCTGGGGACAGGGGCACCCCCGAGTCCCTGAGCTGCCCCTGCTGACAGGGGGATGGAGGGGACATGGAAATGACAACTGCATTAATTAATTATTCAGTGGGTCATTAACGAGCTGCTGGGGACAGGGGGAGCTGGCAGGGGGGTGACAGTGTCCTGGTGTCACCCAACGCCCCAGCCCGGTCCCTGGCAGCTGGGGCAGTGCCAGGGGGACACTGAGAGGGTACAACCCCCCAGGACAGGGACAGGGACACCCAGGAGCCGAGGTGTCCCCACCTAGTGACACAGCCCCAGCCTTCTGTGCCAGCAGCTTCTGTGTCCCCCGTGTGTCCAAAGCTGCTGTCCCCAGCATTTCAAACCCATTTTTGAGCTGATTTTCCCAAATCCTGCAGCTTTCAGCCGTGACCCCACAGCTATTGGGGTCTGCTGGGCCTGCAGCACCCCCTGGCACCCCCTGTGCCCTGGGGGTGACATGGGGTCAGGACAGGCTCCCCTGTGCCCTGGGGGTGACGTGGGGGTCTCCCCTGTGCCCTGGGGGGTGACATGGGGACAGGACAGGGTCCCCTGTGCCCTGGGGGGTGACATGGGGTCAGGAAAGGCTCTCCTGTCCCTCTGCCCATGGTTCTTTGCCCAGTCCCACCCAAGCAGGGCTGAAGGGACACAGGGGACGTGTCCCATCCATGGGACAACACTGCTGGGACCCCCAAGGTGAGGGATTACCCCCAGTAACCCCCAGGATGTGCCAGGAGGTGCCAATGCCACCATCCATGTCCCCATCCATGTCCCACCCACACCCGGGGGGCTCCCAGCGCCGTGAAGGGGGCACAGCACCCATGGGTGCTCCCCCCACCACAGCAGTGTCCCCAGGGAGGACCCAGCAGTGTCACAGATGGATTTGTCCCCCCCCCAGCCCCTCTCTGCCTCCCCAATGGCACCGCCTGCCCTCCAATTTGCATACAAGGCTTAAACATAATTAATTTTTGGCAGCGGGCAGAGCCTGCTCGAGGTTAATCCCTTTAGATTTGCGAGCCTTATCTCGCTGGGGTGTTTATCGAGCTCGGCTTAGCGGGAACAGAGAGCGAGGAGGAGTCGGCAGCGCTTATCAGGGGAGGGAGGGAGGGAGGGAGGGAGGGAGGGATGGTCCCCGGGCATGGCAGGGGAGCTCAGCGAGCAAAACCCAGCGAGCAGAACCAGACCCAGCCAGCAAAACCCAGTGAGCAAAACCCAGCAAGCAAAACCAAACCCAGTGAGCAAAACCTAGCGAGCAAAACCAAACCCAGTGTGCAGAACCAAACCCAGCGAAGAAAACCCAGCGAGCAAAACCAAACCCAGCGAGCAGAGCAAAACCCAGCGAGCAGAGCAAAACCCAGCAAACCAAACCCAGCAAACCAAACCCAGCGAGCAAAACCCAGCGAGCAAAACCCAGCGAGCAAAACCCAGCGAACACAAACCCAATGAGCAAAACCCAGCGAGCAAAATCAAACCCAGCGAGCAGAACCCAGCGAACACAACCCAGCGAGCACAAACCCAACGAGCACAAACCCAGCGAACACAACCCAGCGAACACAACCCAGCGAGCAAAACCAAACCCAGCGAACAGAAACCCAGCAAACTGAAACCCAATGAGCAAACCCAAACCCAGCGAACAAAACCCAGCGACCAAAACCAAACCCAGCGATCAAACCCAAACCCAGCGAACACAACCCGGTGAGCAAAACCCAGCGAATAAAACCAAACCCAGCGAACACAAACCGCAAGCGGATCCTCCCCAAAGCTCCTGGTCCTGCCCGGGTGGAGCCTGGGGAGTTGCGGGGAGGATGTGCAGCCCCAAGTCTGGGCACACCGAGGGTCCCGCACCCCTGAGCACCCCGGCACTCACGTGTAGAGCGGCTGTAGCTGCAGGTGCGACGTCTTCTGGGGTGCCTGGTACCCATAGGAGTCAAAGCCGCCGATGAAATCAACTGGGGAGAGCCGGGAGAGAAACGGGGTGTGCCGGGAGAGCCCGGTGGGATGGGAACATCCCGGGCTGCAGCTGCATCCCATCAAAATGTGACACCCCAGGGAAATGCGACTGCTCAGTGTGAAATTGGGAAACCTGGAGAAATTGGGGCTCCAGGAGAGCTGCAGAGGGACTGGGGACAAGGACAGAGGGACAGGAGGCAGGGAATGGCTGCCAGTGCCAGAGGGCAGGGCTGGATGGCATCTTGGCAATTGGGAATTGTTCCCTGGCAGGGTGGGCAGGGGCTGGGCTGGAATTGCCAGAGCAGCTGTGGCTGCCCCTGGAGCCCTGGCAGTGCCCAAGGCCAGGTTTGGAGCTCCTGGGACAGTGGGAAGTGTCCCTGCCATGGTAGGGGTGGCACTGGAGGTGGATTTCAGGTCCCTTCCCACCCAAACCATCCTGTGATTCGGTGATCTTGACCCACCACAGCATCCAAGGGGATCCCGGTGCTGCATTCCCGAGGGAATAAATCAGGACCACTAACTGGATCAGATCAGAAGGGATCACTGGAGGTCACCGTGTTTCCCCAGACCTGACCTCTCTCCCCAGCACAGCCAGCACAGGGATGGATTCCAGGTGCAGGCAGGCTGGGAATTCCAATCATTCCAGGATCCCCAGCAGCACCCAAGTTCCCAAATCCCACACTGGGGTGGGTTATCCATGGGTGCCCAAGAGCTGACAGCTCAAGGGCAGAGCCCCCCTCTCCTGGAATATTTCCCTTCCTGACTCAGTGTTCCACCAGCTCTCAATTTTAACGCCATCCATCCATTTCAAATCTAATAAGATATTCCATTAAAAAGATGCATTTGCATCCTGGGCTGAGGCAGCATTAATATTAAAATTGTGTTGGATGCAGAGTTTGTGGGAGTGCAAACGCGTTCCAGAGCCACCAGCACTGGATAAACCCTTTGGAAAGGAGCTGTTCCCCCAGGCAGAGGCCAATTCCTCATGGAAATGTTTTATTTCCATGGGAAAGGAGGGAAAACACAGGAGTGCTGCACCCCAGGCTGGGCTGGGACCACCTGTGGGCATGGGGGGGGGGGGGGGGGGGTGTGCTGATCACAGTGCTGAGCCCAGTGCTGATCCTGGTGCTGAGCCCAAGGTTGATTCTGGTTTAGCCTGGTCTGACCCCAGTCCTGAACCCGGTCTGAGACCCCTCTGATCCCAGTCTGATCCCAGTGCTGAGCCTGGTGATGAGCCCGGTCTGACCCCGGTGCTGAGCCCAATCTGATCCTGGTCTGATCCCAATGCTAAGCCTGGTCTGACCCCAGTGCTGATCCCGGTGTTGAGCCTGGTGCTGATCCCAGTGTTGAGCCTGGTGCTGAACCTGGTCTGAGCCTGGTGCTGAGCTCAGTGCTGATCTCGGTCTGATCCCAGTGTTGAGCCTGGTCTGACCCCAGTGCTGATCCCGGTGCTGATCCCGGTGCTGAGCCCAGGGAAGGAGCACATCCCGGTGGTTGTGGCCCAGCCCTGCAGGGATCTGCCAGCTGGTGGGAATTAATTAATGGCAGATGAGCTTTTAATGCCCTTGGACAGCCTCAGCCTCGACCACCTGGTTCAGGGGCCAGGGTGCTCCCCGAGGGGGGTTTGCAGGGATCGGGGTGGGATCAGGAAGAGCAGCACAGACTGGATAAAGTCAGCCTTCATTTTGCCTAAAATGCTGTTTCCCCTGGTTTGGGGTGAAATCCTGGCGGTGGGGACACAGCCTGGGGGACACAGTGTCCCCAAATCTCTGTGGCTGCCAAGGGAGGAGGGAGGTGACAGCGACCCCATCACAGTCCAGCAGCTCTGCCTCACCAGGGATGGGTAAATGGGGCAAAAACCCAATTAAAGGGATTTCCTCAGCTGCCTGGGACCCGGGCATCGCTTCCCCAGACCCCTCTGGGAGCTGCCATCCCACTCAGGGTGGCACCAGCAAGGACACTGTCCCCCTGTCCCCCCAGCCAAGGCACTCACAGCTGTCCTCCTCCTCCAGGAACACTTTGCTGACGTAGCAGGCGTAGACGAAGCCGAAGAGCTGGGGAGAAACAGGGCAGGGAGAGGCTGGTTATGGGGGCATGGGCAGCACAATGGGCACAGTGCCAGTGGGGGCACGGCTGGGGGCCTGGGAGTGACCTGGGGACACTGGGAATGAACTGGGGGTCCTGGGAGAGAAGTAGGGGGCACTGGGACTGACCATGGGCATGAACTGGGGGTCCTGGGAGTGAACTGGGGGGCACTGGGGGTGACCCAGGGGCCCTGGGAATGAATTGGGGGTCAGTGGGAGTGACCTGGGGACACTGGGAATGAACTGGGGGTCACTGCAGGTGACCATGGAGTCCTGTCAGTGACCTGGGGGCACTGGGAGTGAACTGGGGGCTGAGAGCAGCCAGAACCCATCCCAGGGCAGTTTGGGGGGCAGCAGCATTGGGTGGATTCAGCTGCACAAGGTGGGGCTGGAGCTGGCACCCCACAGAGGGTGCTGAGCCCCATACAGTGCTGGGAGCACCTTTGGGGACCCCAATTCCCCTTAAAGCTCCATTTTAGGGAGCTCTGCCTCCAGGTGTGTCCCATTGCCACCTCCCTGTCACAGGAGGTGACAGTCACCGGCCGGGGGGACCCTCCCTCCTGGCAGGCAGCACATTCCAGCAGCTCATTCCCAGGGAGCGATTCCTCCATCCCTGCAGCATGCAACCCTTGATCTGACAAGTTTTGGGGTGGGACACCCCTGGAGTGGTGGCAGGGCTCTGTCTGCTCCTCTCTGGGTGACAGAAATGCATGATAGAGACACCACGGTGCCTCTGCCCACCCCGGCCCCTCCACCCGGTGTTGTATTGCACTAAATAGTTTATTTAGTTGTTGTTTTGCACTGGGTGATGGGAAATTTGTACTGAGTTCGTTATGTCACATAGATTGTTGTTTCCCCTCTCCCATCACATGGCCTGTCCCTCATGCACCCTCTGCTGTACCCCCTGGTGGTCTGGCCCCTGGTTACCCCTCCCCAAGGGTATCCCATTGGCCAGGGTCCTCTTTCCCCGCCCCCCTCCTCAAGTATAAAAATCCACTGCAAGGATGTCACGCCCATTTTTTACACCTGGGTGGTGACAGGAGCCAGAATGGCCATTGTCCATTCCCAATGGACAATAAACAGGACACTCGTCCCCACGTGGAGAAGAGCTCTTCTCGTCTTTGACTGTGTTCATTTCAGACTGTTGTATTCATATTGTTGTTATCTGATTTCTAGAGTCCCATACCTTCTGGGTGGTTTTCTCACAAACAGCTCTTCACAGCAGTGTTGTTCCTGCTTCTTCAGCAGGGCTCCTCCAAGACTCTCCCTGACTGGCCAACCTACCCCCTTTTATCCCAGTTATCTTCACTAGCCACAGCTGCCACCCAATTAAGGACATCACAGCTGCAGCCCATTTAGAACAACTAGGATCGGGGCAAGGCCACTTATACAATACATAGATTTTACTGAGACTCATAGGCCAGTTATACAATGCATAGGTTTTACTATGGCTCAAAGGCCACCTATACAATACACACTAAGATTCAATGGCCACCTATATTTCCCCCTTTTCTTTTAACAATTATACAATTACAACACATATAACCCACCATGACTCAAAGGCCACGTGCCTCCATAGCTCCTTGACTCAAAGGCCATATTTCTCACAGCTCCTGGCTGTCACAGCTCCTCGACTCAAAGGCCCTGTTTCTTCACAGCTCTTGGCTGTCTTAACCTCCACATCTCTCAGGCTGCCCCACAGCTCTTGGCTGCCTTATCTTCTGCAACTCTCAGGCTGCCTAATCTGTTCCACAGCTCTTGGCTGTCCTATTTTCTATCACGTCGGGGTCACCACTTGTTGTTATTAGATTTCTAGAGTCCCATACCTTCTGGGTGATTTTCTCACAAGCAGCTCTTCACAGCAGTATTGTTCCTGCTTCTTCAGCAGGGCTCCTCTAAGGCTCTCCCTGACCAGCCAACCCACCCCCCTTTATCCCAGTTATCTTCATTAGCCACAGCTGCCGCCCAATTAAGGACATCACAGCTGCAGCCCATTTAGAGCAACTAGGATCGGGGCAAGGCCACTTAATACAATACATAGATTTTACTGAACCTCCTACTATATCAGACTGTGTGGGCCAGAGTCCAGAGCTAGCAGGGTTGGACTTATACAACAGCCCCGAGACACACAGATTCTTACAACCCTGCGTGTCCCATTCCTGTCACAGACATCTTTTCATAAAAATCCTTTCTTTAGGATTTTTCTCCTTTCTGAGAAGCTGTGGCCTCAGCAACAAAATGTAAACAGTGGTTATCTGCTGCTGTGGAATGCAACAGGTAGATCCATGATTGGTCTTGGGTGTTTAGATTTACTGACCACTCACGGCAGAGCTGGGTCTCACTCTCTGCTGAGACACAGCCCTTTGTTATTCATTCCTTTTCTATTCTCAGCTCAGCTAGCCTTCTGAGAACTTTTCTCTCTATTCTTTTTAGTATAGTTATAATATTATATATATATATCATAAAATAATAAATCAAGCCTTCTGAACATGAGGTCAACATTCTTGCCTCTCTCTTCATCCTGCAACCCTTGCAAGCCCTGTGTCCCATTGCCGGTGTGGGATGGAGAAGAGCAGGGCGCCCTTACCGCCAGGAAGATCTGAGTGGCGCTGCTCACCACCTCGATGTACTGGTAGTCCAGCAGGCAGCCACTGACCGTGATGACGTGGTGATCCTCGGGCGCCAGCGGGGAATTGAGCACCGGCGTCACCAAACAGCCAGGGCCGTTCTCCATCCACCACGAGCGGTGCAGGGACGTGTTGAAGGTCATGATGAAATCCCGGTCCTGGAGGAGGAAGAGGAGGAGAAGGGGAAGGTGGAGGAGAAGGAAGGAGAAAAGAAGGAGAAAAGAAGGAGAAAAGAAGGAGAAAAGAAGGAGAAAAGAAGGAGAAAAGAAGGAAAGATGAAGAAAAGGAAGAAGAAAAGAAGGGAGAAGAAGAGGAAGAAAGGAAAGAAGAAGAGAAAAGAAGAAAAAGAGGAAGAAAGGAAAGAAGAAGAGGAAAGAAGAAAAGAAAGAAGAAGAAAGGAGAAAAGAAAGAAGAAGAAGAAGAAGAAAAGAAAGAAGAAAAGAAGCAAGAAGAAAGAAGAGGAATGGTAGACCACGGTTCTTTGCAGGATGGCTGGACAGTAAATGGGTTTTCCAAGCCAAGGAGGCTCCCTGAGGTCAGAGCAGGGCATCCCCTGAGCCCAGCCCCGGGTTTGGGGCTCCCTCCCGTGCTGGCACCGTGGGCATCGGCTCAGGCAGCACCCGGGGGTGCCCAGTGACAGGGTGGGTGCCACAGAGCGGGACCAGAGTGCAGGGAGGGTGTTTGTGATGGGCAGCACCCCATCTGCATGTTCCAGGTATGCAGGGCAGCCCCTGCTGCTTCCCCTGGGATTTGGGGGTGCCATGCCCTCATTTCACGCCCAGGGAGCCTTGCAGGGTCCCCCTGGAGCGTGTCCCCTCCTTGTCAGCCCCTCACAAGCTCTGGGGCTCTGCCTGGGTCCTCTCCAGCAGCTGTGGGGTGGCCTTGGGCAGGCTGCATCCCCCTGCAAGGGGAGAAACCCCAGCCCCTGGCTGCCCCTTCCCACTCCATGAGGGTCCCCCTGGTAGCTCTGGCTGAGCCCTCACCCCATGAGAATCCCCTTGGTACCCCTGGGGACCCCCCATCCCCCAGAGAGCCCCCCCAGCCCCTCTGTGCCCCCCCGGCTGTGCTGGGGCCGAGCATCCCCCGCAGGAAATCACCAATCTGGGATTAAACGATTTTTGCTTCTGGGGGCAGCACAAACCCCACAAGGGAGCGAGTGGGTTTGGGTCTGTGGAGCTGCAGGATGCGGCTGAGGCACAGGGACGAGGGGGAGCTGTGACGGGCACCGGGATTTCCACAAAAACCCGCGGTGGGAGGGAATCCTCCCCCTCTCCCCATCGTGCTGCGCACTCAGCGCTCCGGGAGAGCCTCAAATGACCTGGAGCTGCTCGGGGAGAGGTTCCAGCCATGGAACACCCAGGAGGCTTCTTCTGCTTGGGGCAGCACGGAGAAGCGGAGCTGGCTGTCCCCAGCCCCCCTGATGTCCCCAGAACCGGGGAGGGACGCCCCGGGACCCCGAGCCTGGGCTCAAAGGTTCCCTCGGAGCACCCGGGGGTGCCCCATCCCCGCGGGAGATTTTGCTCTTTGTGGTGTAAAAATTAAGTTTGAACAGCGCAGGTGTGGTGGAGGCACAGCCCCATCACATCCTCACCCCATGGCCAAAGGGTGATGTCCCAAAGCTGGGAATGCTGAGCCCCAGAAATCCCGGGAAAATTGGGAATTTACAGCAGGGGGGGGGTCTCCCACCTCTGCCCTCCCCATCCCTGCCCCAGACTCTGCCCCGAGCTTCCTGCCCCTGCTCATCCCATTCCCGGGTTTCGCCGTTCTATCCCTTCAGTGGAGATAAAGGAAATTCGGTTTGGGTTCGGAAACGGCCGCTCTCTCCACTCTGAGCGGTCGGTTTGTCCATCCCATCCCATCCCATCCCATCCCATCCCATCCCATCCCATCCCATCCCATCCCATCCCATCGCACCCCATCCCATCCCACGCCACGGGAATTCCGTGCTCCGGGGAGGCGCCCCCGGCATCACTTTGCTGTGGGGCTGGGGCACCCCTGGGCTGGGGGGGGGGGGCACTTTTGGGGGAGAAGGGAGGAGAGGAGAAGGAGAATGATGAGGAGGAGAGCAAGGGCGGGCCAACAGGAAGGACGGAGGTCAGGAGGATGCAGGGAGGAAGAGGAGGAAGGTGGGGGCGTTACCTGTGACAAGCGCCCGACCTCCAGGTAGAAGCAGATGATGAAGGCGTTCCAGCCGACCCACAGCACCAACCACACGGCGTACTGCGGGACGAGAGGGGTCAGGGCACGGGCACCCCCCCCTCCAGCCCCATTGCACCCCCCTCCAGCCCCGCTGCACCCCCTCCAGCCCCTCTGTACCACCCCCCAGCCCGGCCCTGCCCGGCCCGACCAGGGGCTCTGCGTTGGGATGGTGGAAACCCAAAATCACAGAATGGTTTGGGCTGGGAGGGACCTTAAAGTTCATCAATCAGGGGAGAACCCCTGGGGGCCCCAGGCATCACCCCAGGCTGAGTTAGTGAGTGCTAATTGCAGGGGAGAATTAATGAGGTGGGGAAGGTGTTTGCCTGAGTTGTTCCTGAGGATGGGCATCCACCAGCCGTGCCTCAGTTTCCCCACCCAAAAAAAACTCCAAATACTCATTGGATTTCCTTTGTGAGGTCTCTAATTCCCACCCCTGTCATGGCCCCTCCCAGAGACCCCTCCCAAATCCCTCTGTCCCACTCCAAGCCCTGTCCAGCCTGGCCTTGGGCACTTGCCAGCACTCACAGCTTCTGTGTTCCCAGGGATACAGGAGGGACCTGGGGCTGACACTGCTGCACCGCCAGGGTGGTACCTACCATCATGAGGTATCTGGATCTGTACTGGATGGTCCCGAAAATCCCCAAAATCACGGCCATGATGTGCAGGAAGTTGGCCAGGATGGGGGCCCACTGGTATCCCAGGAAATCAAAGATCTGCCTCTCCAGAGCAGCGACCTGCAACAGAGCAGGGAGGGGACAGGGATCAGGGCTGGGCACGCCCGGGGTGCTGAGGGCAAGGAGCAGCTGGGAATGGCTGGGAATTCCATGGATAACAGGTTGGGGTAGGCTGGAATGTCCGTGGACGGCCAGCAGGACTGGGGTTATTGGGTGTTGTGCTGCGATTTCAGGGTTTACCTCAGAACCCCGGGTCCCTCCCCTGATAATTCCCTCCCAGGTGTGTCAGTCACCTCTCCTTTCCCCTCCCAGCACTGTCTGTCACTCCTGGCATTCCAGAGTGATTGGCAGATTCAAAGGATGCCCTCTACCCCTGGGGGCATTGGGCCATCCAGGTGTCCTTTGTCCCTTTGTCCCTCCCCTCCTGTCCCTGCTTGGTGGCTCCCTGCCCCTTCCCTGCCCCTCTCCCCAGGGTTCAAAGGAGCAGCAACCACGGGCTCAGGGAGTTCTGTTGGAGCTGCTGCTGCATTCAGAGGCCTGTGGGCCAGAATAAAGCTCTGGATCCAAACCCCTCCATCAGAACCGACTCCTTTCCTTCACCATTACCTTAAAGCTTCTCTGCCAGAGGGAAACCTGAGGAGCAGCCCCTGTTATGGGGGGAAGCTCCATCCCAGCACCACCAGAGCTCCTGCAGGCCTGGCCTTGTCCCCACGGGCCCAGCTGCAGCACCCAGCCAGCCCAAAGTGTCTGTGGGGTGAAACACCACACACCCAGCCAGCCCAAAGTGTCTGTGGGGTGAAACACCACACACCCAGCCAGCCCAAAGTGTCTGTGGGGTGAAACACCACAGTGCAGCTGTTTGGTTCAGCACCAAGGGCCAGACAAGCCAAGGCATGTCCCATCCCCAATATTGGTAATATCAACAATTGGGAATATTATTTTACATACATCATATTATACTATATTAATATAATATATAAAAATAATATATTAATATATAATAGATAATAAAATAGATTATAATTAAAATGTATTAATATATTTTGTATAAATTACATTGTATTATATTATATTATATTATATTATATTATATTAATATGGGGTCACATCTCCTTGAGTTCCAAAGGGGAGCCCAAGGAGATGTGACCCCACTCTGCCTCACTTTCCCATCACTCAGAGCTCGGGCACTGCTGGAAACCCATCCCAAGGATGATTTATGGTGGGAAAAGCCTCGAGCTCCCATGTTTTGATTTCCAGCTCCTGTATTTTGATTTCCAGCTCCTGTATTTTGATTTCCAGCCCATCCTCTATGGATCCATGGAGCACTGATCACCATTACCATCTGCAATCCCAAACGGGGCTGTGCTGAATGGGGTAAATCCCCCAGCAGCTGAGGGGATCCAGCCCTGATCCCAGCACTTATTTATGGCTCCATTGCTCCTAATCACAGGATTAGCTCCAAGGAAAGGGTGAGCAAAGGCGAGGTGGGAGCTCTGGAATGTTCAGCCATGGGTTTAATTCAAAAAATGGGGATTTTGGATGAGGGCATGGTTTTTTAGAGAACTTTTAAGGGAGTTTTAGGGAACAAGGTGCGGGGACGGGTCAACAGCAGCCTGGAAAACCCAATTTTTTTTACATTTGTCTAACTCAGCCCTGTCCTGTCATTTTTTGAGGTGCCTCAGATTCACCCTGAGAGCTTCAGGGCCCTCTGAAGTTCTCCTCACAGCACCATTCTCCAATTTTCTGCCTGAAAAATGGGGAGTTTATCCTGAAAACCACAGGAAAAAGGGGTTTGCATCGCCCCTCCATTCCCCAGCAGCTCCCAAAGGGATCCGGAATGAGGGGAGAGCCCCTGGGGGTCCCAGGCATCATCCCAGGCTGAGTTATTGAGCCCTAATTACAGGGGAGAATTAATGAGGTGGGGAAGGTGTTTGCCTGAGTTTTTCCCAAGGATGGGCATCCACCAGCCGTGCCTCAGTTTCCCCACCCATAAAACTCCAAATTCTCATTGGATTCCCTTTGTGAGGGCTCTAATTCCCGCTGACTTCAGCCCAGCCCCACCCTAGGGCTGATATCCCATCTCCTACCCTACTCCTGGGGTAGGATCTGCTGGATTAGAGCCAGCAGGACACTGATTTTAATTAAAGGTGATGCCAACCCTTGGAGCAGCAGCCTCTGGGTCTGTGGGGCTGGGACAAAGCTGTTTGCACTGAAACTGAATTCACTTCCCTGCTCCTTCAGCTCTCTGAGGAAACAGCCTCAGGAAATACCCACAGCCAGGCTGTAAATCTCCTCAATTGAGGAATGGAAATGATGAATGATACAGGGAGTGCAGAGCTTGGGGTTTGTGGGCACCCATCCATCTGGGGGCTGTCAGCAGAGCTGGATGGAGGTTTGGGTACCAGGGATGCTCCCAGCTGAGGGATGGGGCTGGGATGTGTGACATTCACATTCTCTGAAAAAATCCTCTTGCCCAGGGTTTTTCTCCTGGGAAGCTGAGAAGCCTCAGAGAAAAGGAAAACAATTCTGATCTCATTTGCTTCTCCTGTGTTGCGCTCATGTGGAATGTGGTTGGAGATTGTTTACCCACAGGTGATTGTTCCGTTGCATTCTGCTGGGAGTTGTTTTCACTCTTTGGCCAATCAGGGCCAAGCTGTGTCGGGACTCTGGAGAGAGTCACAAGTTTTCATTATTATCTTTTTAGCATTCTGTAAGTATCCTTTTTGTATTCTTTAGTATAGATTAGTGTAACATTCTTTAATATAATATAGTATTATAAAGTAATAAATTAGCTTTCTGACAACATGGAGTCAGATTCTCAATTCCTTTCATCATTGGGGGACCCCACAAATCCAATAGGGGAGAGACTCTGAGGGCATCCCATGGAGCTGGAGTGAAGGGATCACACCCGTGTGGCTCCTTAATTCCAGCCTGAAAGAGGAGGAGCTGGGGTGACCCTGCTTGAAGCAAACCCTTCTGCATCCCAAAGAGGCAGAATTTGGGATAAACACCCCAGTTTCTCCATGGATGAGTTAATTAGGGGCTGATAATTACACCACAAAGCAGCTCCAGCCCTGCTCCCTGGCTGTGTTATCCCAGCTTTTTTCCTCTGTGGAAAGAGCAGATCTGGGATTTTCCATCCTTGTGGGATGCAGCTGAAGGTTAAGGGACAAACAGACTCACAAAGGCAGCGTGGCTGCACTCCCAGCTCTCAGTGCCCACCAAGGGCATCCCAAGAATCCCAAGGACATACCAGGGGCAACTCAGGGGCATCCCAAGGGCCCCAGGGGCATCCCAAGGGCATCCCAAGAGCATCCCAAGAATCCCGAGGACATTCCAGGGGCATCCCAAGGGCATCCCAGGGGCAGGGGCATCCCAAGGCCAGCCCCACGTGTTTCACGAGAGGGGAAACTGAGGCACAGCCTCCAGCAGGAGAGTCCAGGTTTGGTGCCCCTGCCCAGGGAACTGCGGGGCTGAGTGAGCACTCTCAGCTCAGAGCTGCTCCTCGGGCTGGTCTGGCTCCTGGAGCATCATCCCCGATCCCGTGGGTGTAAAATGTCCCTGGGAGGGACCTTCAGGACCCCCAGCTCTTCGGGGCTCAGCATCATCCCAAGAAACTTCCCAGCAGCGTCCAACACAGCCAAAATTGTTCCGTGGGCTCAGAGCATCCTCCCTGCCCCTGGAATGGGAATTCCCGCTGCTCCCAGCCCCATTCACACCCCGCTCCCTCCCAGCCCCAGCGCCGCCGGAGCCGGGATGCAAACGCTGTCCCATCGCTAATTAAGATAAACCTCGGCTGATCAATGCAATGAGATTTAGGGCTCCCTCTTAATTAAACACGAGTTCATCGATCGGCCCCAAAACTTCGCTCGGCAGCAAATCACAGCAATTGGCTGGGGGCGGGCTGGTTCCGCTCATCCCGGCCTGGAAGGGATTTGTGTGCACCGGGAATGGGAGCGGGAGGGACCGAACTCCATCAGGGGGTGAGGGGACACGAGTGGGGAGGGGACACCCGTGGGGACACAGGCTCAGCTGGGGCTCAGGGAGGTGGCACCAGGGAGGCAGAGCTGGAGGAAAATGGGATTTTTCCAGTGTGCTGACACCAAATGTAAGAGGGAAGGAGTTTCTCTGTCCTTGAATCACCTGCTGGTTTTGGCGCCCTCACCTTCTTCAGACCCACCCCAAGTTTTCCCAGTCGTTAATCCCCACAAGGAGGGTGGGAGAGCTGGATCCGGCTCTGGCTGTGCTAGGAGCATTGCAGGGTCACCAGGAGCCCCTTCCCCACTAAGGAGTCCCTTCCCCACCCCTTCCCAGGTCTCTTTTCCTGAGAAACCCAGCTTGGAAATTCGATTGCAAAGGGAGAGTGCTGGGTGATCACCTCAGACCCAGCATCCCGGGAATGCAGGAACCTTCCTGCCCAGCAGCTCCTCCTGGAACCAGAGAATCCCAGAATGGTTTGGGTTGGAAAAGACCTTAAATGACCTTAAATCCCATCCCATTACCATGGCAGGGACACCTCCCACTGTGCCAGGTGCTCCAGCCTGGCCTTGGGCACTGCCAGGGCTCCAGGGGCAGCCACAGCTGCTCTGGCAATTCCAGCCCAGCCCCTGCCCACCCTGCCAGGGAACAATTCCCAATTGCCAAGATCCCATCCAGCCCTGCCCTCTGGCACTGGCAGCCATTCCCTGCCTCCTGTCCCTCCATCCTTGTCCCCAGTCCCTCTGCAGCTCTCCTGGAGCCCCTTCAGGCCCTGCAAGGGCTCTGAGCTCTCCCTGGGTTCTTCTCTCTCTGATCCTGGAGCTGGCGCTGGGCAGGATCCTGGAGCTGCTCCTGGCTCCTGCTGCTCTTCAGCCCTGCAGCAGCATCTGCACCCCGGTCTGAGCTCTGAGCTCCCCTCTGGGCCGGGCAGGGCTCCTGGCCCCCCGATGGGTCATTATCCCGCAGCTGGGTGATTTCCTCCCGCACACCATATGCCAGAGGCTCGCCGGGGATTTAACTTTTCATTTGGTCGCGTTTGGAGGGGATTTGCCTGTTCTGACTCCTCATGCGCTGTGGCCGAA